AAAAAAACTTCTTTGATTGAAAAAATAATTGCTTTCCCCAAAAACTAATCATTTCTTCTCACAGTCAAAATAAGCAAAATGTTTTTTGAATTATTCTAATCAGATGATCAGATTATTATTTGCATCGTTTCTTTGATAGCTGGGCCGTATCTCTTAAACGGCTGGACCTGCTTTTCAAATAAAGTAATCGGCACATCTCCCCGTCAATACGTGTCATCGTTTCTGAACTATTCTCATCGAATGCTCCGTTCTCTTCAAAACTATAATCATTCCAATCAGATGCTCCATTCTCTTGAAAACTGAATTTTTATTTTTTTGCGCTTTTTTTCCGTATCTCCGAAAATTCTGGACTTTAGACAAATTCAATTTAAATTTCAATAAGATAAATTGTATTTTACCCGTCAAACAACTGTACTATTCTGATTACTTCGTCGGTCTGCGGGATACTGATGATAATAATATGGAGGACGGTTCACAAGTTTAATATGTATAGAAAAATATTTTACATCGTTCAATATAGAGAAATATTTTATATCGTTCCAGATCGTATTGAAAAATGTTTATTACTACTGTTACAATAAACTCCTACCTCGCCCATACAGTTTGAATATTTTTTTATAATATATATATATACACCTAAGTCTGTTTTTACACGGAGATTGGTTCCAGAAGAATCCGTGTAAAAAAAAAAACGTGTAAAAAAAGACATTGATCTTATACAAAAATGGGTGATTTGTTCCTAATCTCTAAAACCTATTAAAATTGGTGAAAAACAAGAATTTTTAAGAACAAGAATTAAATTAGTGCTATTCAGATTTGCTTTGACCAGTAAAAATTGTTTGTACGCGCTAAAGGGGAATTCACTTAAATCTTTAAGCTAGTGTTCGCAAACTATCGATACTATCGATGGTTTCAGGCTTTTTTCTTTCATAAATACTTTTTTGTGATATGAACATACTTCGCAAAAATTTAATTTGACAAAAAAAAATTAGGTACATAAAATTTCAAATCGTGCTAAATGGAATAAATTCGTGTAAAATAATTAAAAATATTCAATTTTCAAACCGTGTTATATCAAAACCGTGTACAAAAAGACCGTGTAAAAACAGACTTAGGTGTATATATATATATGTATATATATATATATGTATTATAATAGTAGTATAACACTCAATGTAGTATAACGAATAATTATAAAAGTTCAAAATTATGAATTGTGAATTCTCAAAAATAAATTTAGGGTAAAGTGGAGCTTAAAGGTTTCATCACCATCGATATCTTAAAAACCAGTAAAGTAACTTAAGAAAGCAATTTTTAAATAACAAAATTGGAAAGTAGAGGTAAAAAGATGTATGTAGATATTAGACCCGTTTGTCCACTGGCTATCCCAATTTACACCGCCTATGGGGTGAAAAAGACATTGTGACAAATTTTTGAAAACCAGCAAAAAGCACATTTGTTCTACGATGAATTAGCTGGGATATTTACTCAAAATTGTCAAATAGTTGCTTGTTTGATGTGTATTATTCGCTATGATATAATTGTTTTGGTTTTCACAATATAATTGCTCAAATTCAAACTGGACCTTAGTGCCCCGCCCTACTATGCAACATTTATTTGATGCAAAGTTTATTGCTACTTTTATTTCATTAAGTAAAAATAACTTATCGTGGTTCAATAGATAATAAGTACGTGTGCTAACACAAACAAGTCCCGGATTCGATTCCAGCATCGGACAACTCGATATAATGGTATATATTTTGTCCAATTTAAAAAATATCATGGTTAAAGAAGAAATAGTTAAGAATCACAGGGCGATTCGAAACAAGTTTTTATTTCAATCCGAAAGTTTGTGCGTCATATAGCAGAAGATTATTACACCATATCCATACCTATACTTACACTTACCTACATATACAGTACTTTTATTGACGATGTATCAATTTGAATAAATCCTGTTTTTGAGCCATTCAAATTCTTAAAATATGTCCCAATCTATAATTTAAATATATGTGTAGACGAATAAAAAATACAAATTTATGTATATAATTTTGTTAAGAAATTGTTGAATTTGTAGCCCTTCTACAAAAATTTCGAAGGTCGATTTTAATTATTCTCAGGTTGCAAATTAGAATAATTTTAGATAAGAATATATTCTAGATAATGCTACAATGAAACAAATAAATAAATATTATATTATTTATTTGTTTTCTTTAATTTCGGTAATATTACAAAAGCCCAATTCAGAAACATTGCCATAGTACAAAAATTTATTGAAACGAATATTTTTATAGATAATCATTGGATATCGTATAGAAATCCCAAAAAATTAAGGATTATGCTTCAGATTATTAGATTTTGGTTTACTTTATAAAGTGTTTATTAGAAACAGTAATTAAAAATTTAAAGGTAAATTCAGTTTAAAAAAATACAAGAAATAAATTTAATTAATAGCCATTCCAACTTTGCTAATGAATGTTTCTAACAAAATACCAGATCAAGGTTATGTATAATGATGTCTATGTAAAAAATGTGCACATGGATTTTATATTTTGCATGGATTAAATATTGTAGCTATTATTTTGTTAAATTCCTTTAAAATTAAAAATAAGACATTAGATTTGTTTGACGGCTGCCTGTCCCATTTTACCCCGCTTATGAGGTAAAAAAGGCAGATGACAGATTTTAGAAAAATAGTAACATTTCTAAAATAAGAATTTAACTGGGAACTTTACTGAACATAGTTTGATAGTTGTTTGTTTGATAAGTATTATGTGTTGTGATCTAGTTCATTGACATTATAGTTACTTAAAATCAAATTGAACCTTTGACTCCCGCCCTACCCAATACTTGATCGTTGTTTTTTACCATTAGTTTTGTAAATTATAGGACATAAAACGTTTGATTTTTCTTCTAATTTATTCTGTATACGCAAATAAAATTTTACCTTGCGCATTCGATTGGACCTGATACTTTATATAACTGGAATTTATTCTAAGATCGATTTTCTATTTAGCAGCCAACATAATTTCTTTCTTCTTGTTTCTAGTTGTGGACGCTTTTTTTTGTATATTATGTTTCCAAGTAAATTTTTTACCTGCAACAACTTTTACTTGCGGTAGCATTTGATTGAAAAATTTAACTGATGGACTTGATTATTTCCTGAGGGTAAATCTATATGTATAGACTTCAAACTGTTTACTCAAAATCTCCATAAATCTTCCAATCTTTGAATATCCAAAATTTTAACCAATGTTCGACTCATAGATAGACAAGTATAATGGTTCGACTTCAGATATGTGAGAATTATAATATTTGAAATAAAACGGTTGCATTTTTTTTTTAATTTATAAAGCGGGCCATTATGTCAAACCTTATAATAGTTTTGTCAAAGGGGTCTTATCCAAAGAAATATCGCAGAACAGAATAGCTGTAATTGTAATTAGTCCTCAATCTTTTCTGGGTGAATTTGTTCTAGAGTTGACTGTTTTTCTTCGAAACCAAAATGATGATGGTCGCGTTCTCATCAGCAGCAGTTTTCCAAAAAAAATTGATATCATTGATAGGTGGCTGATAAGATATCTGAAGGTCAGGTTTTGGAATCAGAATTACTTTTGCTGGTTTTCAATTGGTTGGAAATAGCTAATACTAATTGTTAGAAATCTGTATCACATATCAAATAAATAATTCATTAGTATAACAGAAATATTGTCGAAGTCTAGAGATTTTCCATAAATAGTCCAACGAATTTCATCCTCGACCTCGATTTTTTTCAATGTTTTATCTTTGAAGAAGGTGAATGTTGTTATAAACTAATTCCGTCAAAATTAATCTTGCTCTACCTGTCTTTTGTTTTATCAAAAGTTTTTATTATTTATTAATAACATAGTTGTATATACATTTATAATATATTATTCTATTCCTTTAAATTCTATCACAATACAGCGATATTAAACATTGTAGATATTTTGGATAATCTGAATATCTGTTCAATATATTAGCTGTAATCCTTATTTTATCTTATAAATATAAAAAGGATTATATTCGATTAAGTTCTTATAAAATATATTAAGTAGAAATATAATTGAATTGACCGAGTTGATCAGGATAAAATAATTGGTCAAATTTGTGATGAGGTAAATGGGTTCGATTACAATTGTATTTAATGGGAAATGATTACAGCATTTCAACATTGTGATAATACTTTGAAGTTAAGTTGAAGTTATTTTTAAACCTTTCTTTTTGTTAGACTCTATTTGACCCAAATTATTGTAAACCAAAATTCAAGAACAGGTTCAATTCAAGATATTATCACTTTTTAAAATGTTGACCAATTGTTGCATATGTACTATAATAATATTTTAGTACAAATTATTGTATTTATTCGAAATGTGTATCCATTAAATATTAAGTGATGTAATGATTTTTATCTTATAAAGTATAGTATATGTCGCTAAACTTATGATAATTGATTATGATAAATTTATAAATGAACTGTTTAGCCCAATTCAGTAAAAATAGTTGGAAAATAGTAATACTTATGGGCCGATTCTGCCGTAAAATAGACCAATGTTATGGCAAGGCTATGTTACGTGGCAGTTTTCATTCCAAATCGTACTAAATACTGTCAAAATACCATGTATTTGCAGTACAATCAGGCGTTTTATACATAAAATGCGACTTCACTCATGTGTTATTAAACCATATCACAAAGATCCAGTTATCATAACATCAATTTTTGACGTTGTACATTTTCTAGGTTAAGTTTTTTTATCTAAAACGCCTGTCAGCGCATACACATTTAACAGTTTTTAGTGCCATTCCATATCAAAACTGCTACATAACATAGCCTTGCCATAACATTTGTCTTTTTCACGGTAGAATCGGCTTCTTATGCTCGTATATAAAATATTTTTGGGTTCTCAAAATTTTCTAATAAATATCAATGTCTGGTAAATTTTTAGTAATGAATAGGATGTCTTAGTTAATAAGGGAAACAATTAAAGCAACTTTGATTCTATCCATGGCAAAAACTGTGACACTCTGGTATAGACTCCAGGAAATCCTGGTTCAGCACATTTGAATCCGTAAGAAACCACACCTATCAGGTAATAATGGTATCCGTCCCGGTTATCATTGATCTAAATTTAAAAACGTAAAGCTATAATTTAATCAATTTCATTATACGATTAAACATAGAAATGATCAATGTTAATTTTTTAATGAATGATTTATTCCACATATGAATGATGACTGTTCGACAAATGGATGATGCAAATAGATGGAAAGCAGTACTCATTCCTAATTCTAACTAAAAGGACAATATTTTTAACTTCCGGTAGGGTGAGTTATTGTAATCGTCCAAAACTCGAAAATGAAAATTTTTGCTTATCTTCACGTTTCAGAGGTTTCTGAATATTCTGGCATACATTAAAAAAAATTGATTTGTACGTGTATGTGTAAATACAATTTGTGTCGACAATTTTGGGCGTACGGAACAACCGATTTGAATGATTCAAAAACACCGTGCTGATTGGTTTTTGATAAAGTTTGGACCGGCCGCATCGGAGATACGAAGCAAAGAGTGCAGAAAATAGAAATCTAGTTTTTAAAAAAACAGAAAATCGAATTTGATTGATTTAAAAAACATTCAATTTGTAATAATGGGAAGAAGTGGTGATTAGTTCTTGACACAGGCAGGTCCAGCCATTTGGAAGATATAGAGGTAAATGTGCAAAAAATGGCAGTTTTTGAGAGAACTAAGCATCCGATTTGAATGATTGAAACACTAATCATGCTAGCAGATTCACATGGAAAAAATACTCGGATCGAGTCTAGGTACTATATACAAAAGATGAGTCCAGAAATTACTACTTAAAAAATTGAGTTTTGGTTTAGAATATATGTGAAGCCAAGGAGTTTGTGACATGAATTAGAAATTTCATTACAATAGGATATTAGAATGATGTCTTCTAACAAGTTAACTGTGATTGACGATAATATATGAAATGTAAAGTAATGCAAAAATGGCAGTGTTTTGTATTGTATTCCCTACTATTTTAAATAGTAATATTTTCAAAAGTTCTCTAAACATCTTGGCGTTTGAGAATAAATTTTACTTCCAAAAATTTCGTTTTAAATAGAAAATGGTCATTGGCATTCAGGATATACGAGTTTCGTATTCTAAAATTTTAGAATGTTGGGAGTATGTTGAGGCTATCACGTACAATTTAAACCAAGTAGTTGTAAGAGTGGTTTTATCATAAACGCAATTCCATGTACTTTTCGAAATATGAAGTAATATACCCAACCATTAGGATTGAGATTTAGCTTTTAATTTAAATTAAAACTGCTTGTTTCTAAAATAATTTTGAATTTCACCTAAAATCAATCAATCAATCAATTTCACGTAAAATTGATCAATAATATTTTTAATAGATATATTTTAAAGTATTAAACAAACTATCATTATATTTTAAGTTACTAGGTATTTGTGGTTATTAGGTAATAACACAAGAGAATATATCTAATTAAATTCAAAATTCAATAAATTTTTATAACTAAACCTCTTTCGTGGTTCTATAATATTTAATAACTTTTGTAACACTTTGATAAAAAAATCGATTTTTTCAATATTAAGATTATATTAATAGTTGTAAGTTTAATTGTAATGAAAATTTTAATGGTTCTGTTCGCTAATAAAAGTAGGCTATGAAGTTAGAGAATGATTTGTTGATTAGTACGTTGTACATAAGATGGTGGATTAGTGTTGTGAGAGAATATAGAGTTAGTAGAATATATTAGTATTTTAGTACAATTTACAAGAAATAATAATTTTATAATTAGAAATATTTCAGTAGTGGTTACTTTTCTTACTTTTATGTGTACAATATTCCATTGAATGTTTTAGTTGAAAACGTAAGTAATATATGCTTATGGTAACAAAAAATTATAATATAGATATAATAATTTTTTTGTAAAACTGTAAAATTTTGAAAAATAAACCCACATATTTAATTTGATTAACTTATATTTGGTAAGACCAGCGCAACTTACTGTGTGATCGACAAATATAATCTTTTAATTTGGTTTATAAAATCTAATTTAACTAGATTGTAGATAAATTACACTTTTTAAGTATTTGTAGCTATAACAATATATGATGTTGAAACTAATTTGTATATAGCCAAATGAGAGATCCATATAACCACACATTAGTGTCTTTTAGAAAATGTCCATGTGGGTGAGACTTTTGTTTTGAATTTTATATAAATGGTACAGATAATATGGTACTAGTTAAAACAGTACACAGATCATGGTAAAAAAAAACACGTAATCTTCACTACCCTTTCCCAAAGAGCCAGACATTCTTCAGAATACTATCAGAAATTTAAAACTTCTTTAAACTTTCGTTTTGAGATTTAGATAAATCGTGCAGATAATATGACATATCTTATAACAAGAAATAAATCATGCTAAAAGTATAATATGACTACCGTTTCAGAAACTCGCGAAATTAATAAAAGCCAAACTTTATATTTATATGGTAAAAGTTGCTATGCACTAAACTCAAACGGTTAGTGCTATTATAAAATAAGATTTTATACTTGTTTATTTTACGGGTTAGAAATATATTTATCATTACATCTTAAATATTAATAGATATGTTAATTATTCATGCCTTCTATTTTGAAAGATGTCAAAAAGTAAGATCATAATCTCAGCGACAAATTAATGTTACAATAATGAAAATGTTAATATTGATATCATAATATGTTTGTCAAACGTATGTTTTCATATATTGTTTACCACTGAAAACATAAGTGAGACTTTTGTTCAAGCCTTTTACAGATGTCACGAATGTAGATCATAATGTCAGTGTAAAATGAATGCCATGATAATGAAAATGTTATTAAACATATCATGATATGTTTGTCAATAAATTAGGTATGTTTTCATAGATTGCTTACCACTGGCAACATAAGTGGCCCACCGCTGTCGCCCTGGCAAGCATCTTTGCCACCATTGGCGTATCCAGCGCACAAAACCCGTTCATCGATAATCTGAGCTTTAAAGCTCGCGTAGTTTTCTTTGCACTGTTCATTGGTCACCACTGGTATTTGAAGTTCTTGAAGTTTAGTAGCTGAAGGCCCACCTAAACAAATAGTGAAAAATACAATAACTTATACTGTAATTTAGCAAGTAATAGAATCAAAATGAGCAAATAATATCTACATCGTCAGAAAATACTGAAGAATTATTTTCAAAAAATGTCTTTTGTATACAATTTTTGTGCAATACCTTCTGATCCATAATATCATTATAATTATTGTATCATTGTAATACTTTTGTTCCTACTTTCTATTTTCAAACAAGTTAAAATTTCTTTGAAAAAACAAAAATAGTAAAGGGTCATAATGCATTTTGCCGAATAAATTGTTATCAATTAACTAATATGTAATAATTAACATACTTACAAAGAACATAAAATTATATATTAAAATCGTAAAAAATCGATATCTTTACGGTTCAAAACAGAGTAATTGTGCGCATTTGTTTGTAATATGATTTTTAAATATGTATATTAGAATCAAGTGTTGAAAAAAATTGTTCAGCAAAGATTCATAGTCACTTTCATAGAAAATTTTTAAATAAAAGCAATGAGTTTTGTACTGATTTAAAAGCTTTCTGCAAATAAAGGGATTTGAACTATATGACATCTAATTATAAGATTTTTACTATTATGATAAATGTTTTAACTATAATAATAAAAAACATAATTATATGTTCCATACCAATATTTTATAGAAAATTTATGCATATTTTTAGACAGTTATAAACTATTCAGCTATAGGATAGGGAGAGGCACATAGATCCAATTTGACTTTGAACTATTACTTTACAAAAACCAAGCAAAAAACTTTGCAAAAACCAAGCAACAAATAACAAATATAAAACGAACAAAAATCTGACTATGTTCAGTATATAAACCTCCCAGCTATTTCGTCATTATAGAAATGTGTTTTTTGCTGTTTGTCATAAATTTCTCACCTTGTTCTACTTTTCCCAGCAGGGTTGGAATCAAATCGCTTCTTATTTTTATTTGCATAGATTTATTGCCGATCAAAATAATATAATTTTTTTAAGACAATATATTGGATGTAAATGCATTTAAGAGATTATCTCCTATGAGATCCTCTTTTTTTATTTTTTGACATTTTATTTAAGATCGTATATTTTTTGCGATCTTCGAGTAGAAAATTTCCCGCGTAATTCTTTTTAATATTTGTTTGGGTAATCTGGTAGAAATCGCATCTTTTAATTTAATTTACTTTTCTATTTACTATTTCTTTTTGTTAACCAATGCCAACGTGAATATTCAGTTGGTCCTTTTTACGGTACGTGGGTACATGTAAACGTTGATAGAGATTATATATAAAAACTTGATGAATCTAAATTTAAAATAACTATACATCTTATAATATAATTGAATAACGTATAGTTGAAAATTATATTAAGATCTAGTAAACTAAACCACAGTGCTCCATCACGTTTTTGTTATAAATTTCCCAACATTTCTGTTTATCTCAAGATAGAGATGACGTAAAAATCTAGATTGTAACTAGTTATACATCATTTTCACTCTACTTTCAAATATTGCTGTTAAAAAAATTCTTAATTTTACTCGTTGCCCTGCTTTACCCTATTCTTAAATCTTACTTAAATTATTTAAGATGTAACTAAAACTGCAAAATTACCAAATCGTAAGGCTCCCCATCCAGCAACAAATGGAAATTTGCGAACATAGACATCATTTCTAACATCACTTGGTGTTGGTAGACATATTGGTTTTATAGATTCTGAAAATTATAAATGTTTTTAATTCTAATAGTCATACAAGATTTTCTCAAATTCAAAATAAAATTGGCACTAGAAAGTGTGAATTAATAATAATTCAAAAAACATCGAATTTATTATTATATTTTAATTAGGAATTTTATGTTCAAATGTCATATTAGACTGCATGAGTTTGTGCTTTATTAATATACTTATGCTCACCAGAAAATGTAACAGGGCTGCGCAATGTTAAAACAGCAATATCATTTGTAGAAGACTTTCTGTTATATTGTTCGTGCATGATTTTCTCTGCTATCGGAATATCTATTGGATGTGCACCATCATTTGTGGAAGCTAAGTCCAATTCTCCAAGACGCACCATTTCCCTAATGAAGATAAATGAAATGAATTTTATATTTCATCTAAATAATTATAGGTCTTAAAAATTCATTATTAACTTCCCGTAGGGTAAAATCATGAAATATCACATGCGGGAGGCAGGAGTATAGTAAGATATCACGTATATTTATTTTTTACATAGATTTGTCAAAAAAATTCAAATATTTTTTAAAAAAAAATAAAAAAATTAACGATTGTTTCTTCTAACTAAAAATACACGTAATTTTTGGTGGGACAGGGAGGTTAATTTTGAATATCATCACGTATCACCAAGGGGGAGGGGGCGTCCAAAAATCCTTAAAAAGTCGATCACGTGATTAATGGACGTCCCCTAATAAAAAAGCCCACGTCCGTCCGTAATTTGAAAATGTTGAAAATACGCCTGAATTCCAGGCGTACAAAATCTATTTTTTAAGGATACTCAAATTTAAATGTAATTTAAACAAAAATAGTCATGTTCTAGAAACTTCAATTTTAATATGTACTAATACTCTTCAACATCATTGATGTATTTCTTGATCTAACTAATATAATTTAAATTTTCGTAATTTAAACTCACAGATCGTCTCGTCCAAAAACGCAATGCGCTGCCGTCACGATGTGTCTGTCAGAAACCAATGTTCCTCCACATAGCCAACGGTAAGTACCATCTCCTCTTCTGTAGCCTAAAACTGCTAACCATGGCCAAGAATCTATGGCATATAAGGAAGTAAGAGTTTCTGTTAGAAGTTTACTTTGGATCATAATCATTTTCATAATTATTTTATGGCATGGTACTGTATGCGTATGGTTATTTATTAGTTACCAATCATAATTAATTAGGAGCGTTTCGTGATATTTTTTGTTAAAGATGAAAAAATGATTGTTAAATACAATTTTCCATAATTTTTGCTCAAATTGGATGTAACACCAAGTGAATGCAACAAATAATGGCTTTAGCTTTATTCTTTATTCTTTCGTTTTCGGTGTTATTTTAATATTTATGTTCGACTTGAGAACTAACAATTAGAGAAATTTGACCACAAACCGAATCCTATATAGTTTTATATTTATTGCATTGAAGGCTAATTAAAATATAATACTTTTTATAAATATTTTATGGTTTGGTACTGTATAATATAATAAATGGCAACATTCATATAATTTCATTTATAAAAATAATATGTTAGATTTTATCACATATTTTAATTTTATCTGACATTTTGTACAATTAAGTTTTTTAACAAATATATCATCGTTCTGAATCGTGATGTATCTACGACCTACAAATTGTCAGATATATAATTTGGGAAAGAATTTAATAAAAATATAAATACAAAATATAATAATACAAAAATAAAATTAATTCGTTTTCATTATTTCGAAATACTGGAAATTATTTAAATTGATAAATAAAAAACATTTGTATGTATAGTACATTCCTGCTACAAAGAATGTATTATTTTTAAAATCTTTAGTGGTATACTTTTTGAAATGAGAATACAAATCTATAACCATATAAGCTATGGAAATATTTTTTTACCATTAATGGCGATTTTACGAAAAAAAAAAAAAAACAAAAATACCAATATATTTTTAATTATTTTGCCGTGGTGTAAATGGTTAAAGACGTGAGATAGCATAAACTAGTCAGGTCGCTATGAGTCAGTACGATATCAAATTTCCAAAAACAGGTGTAAAAATACTTAGGATAAGATATCTATTAGGGTGCCTTCCAAAACTAAGTCATACACTAGATATCAACACAATTACCGAACGTAATTGTGATAGTAATGAAAAAAGCTTGAAAAATAAAATTAATGCATACTGTCAGGATGGGTAATTTATTAAAACAGTTGTATAATTTTCTCTCAACTTTTAGTTTTTATAAAAAAAATAATTTATAAAAAAGTAACTAGACCGATAATAAAAAATTAATAATGATCATCTATTAATTGTCAAGAGTTCTGATATGCATCGTATACAGGCGTCTTTCCTACTTTATTGTAATTATATTATAGTAGAACTCCAATTATCCGAACTCCAATCATACGAACTCCAATTATCCAAACTCCGACCATCCGAATCGCCGATTATCCGAATCACTTTCAGAAACAAAATTGTCCAAAAAAAGTCTAAGTGCGCTATTATTCTTCCACCAGCAAAGCCAGTGTAGGCACATTGTTTGTTTTGATTTGATACAAAAATTGATTTTGATGTTTACAAAACAATGCTTTTTATTTCTGAACTTGTACATAAGTACATTTTATTTATATTTAAAACATGTGAAAATGTCATGTTTCTTTCATTTAATTCAATAAAAAAATAGTGCAATATCAAAACGTAACTTTTTTTCTCTCCAATGGCAATTTTAAAAACAAACTCCGATTATCCGAATATTTGATTATCCGAATGGATTCCGGTCCCCATTAATTCGGATAATTGGAGTTCTACTGTATAACAATTTAGAAAGTTTATGTGAGAAAATATCATTGCTTATGTCGCTCTCATCTAATTTAAAATTTATTTATAGATGCGATTAAATGATTTGTACTTTGTGTAAATGATTTGAACTTCACATTTAGTTTTAACTTACTCAATTCAGCAGGCGTACCACCAACCACTTTCGGATGAGTTGCATTACTGAATCCACAGCCATTTTCTTTAGTTAATAAACCTTTTGTTATTGGTGCGGGCTTGCTAGTAGTTGGTGTTGCAACTAGAGCGCAGCAGACCTAAATATATAAACATATTAAAATTGCCTGCCTTCGCCAAAAACCTTCGCACGTCTTCTTATCAATACGAATCGAATGTTTTTTGAATGATTCAAATCGGTTGATCGGTGTTCACGAGATCGTCGACGAAATTTGTATCCACACACACGCACACACATTCATCCATTTTTTCTAAGTTATGCCAAAATGTTCAGAAACTTCTGAAACGTAAAGATATAAAAAAAAAAATATTTTCGTTTTTTTTTGCGATTACTATAACTTTAAATGTTTAAATGGAGACCTCTCAGAAAGCATCACACCCATGACCAAAATCCACGAGGGATTTTGGCGAACGGTCATCGATGATGATCAAACTCCAAATGAAGTTCGACCACCTTTCTCACGCTCAGGGTGCGATGCTAAAACTCATCGTCGAGGTCGCATCAACTCCACGTTTGAGTGAAGAGATTGTGAAGACATACTACAGAAATGATCCTGTGAAGTATGATCTTGACGAAACGACGTTTTGACCGAGACAGGTAAAATTCTTTCAGGTTTGTGCGGCGATTACAGGTTAACGTGACGCAGGTATACGAAGCGGTGACATCTAACATCTAACATTCCATTTTCAAGTTTTGCTTATAGAAGCAGCGTTGGGCGTAAATGAGTACATGATCGAACTTCATAATATGTATATGATTTTTTCTAATTCAGTATTCGTCATATTTTTGAAAATTTTATTTTTATCTAGCTAATACAGATAGTAGTTACATCAAACATGAAACTAAATATGACATATCACATAAAATACGACCTTTAACTTTTTGCGAAAAAATCCGATTTTTTACGATTACTATTACTTACCCTAAGGGAAATTTAAAATAAAAATAAAAAAGATTAAATAAGCGAATAAATGATAAATAAAATGATAATAGTAGTATTAAACGTAAAACGATAATAGATATATAAAAATTTTCATTTTCAATTTTTTTGCGATTACTATAACTTGCCCTACGGGAAGTTAATAAATCTAAAATCAACGAGTGTTCCTTACCTTTGGGTCGGACCCCTCATACCCGCAAACGCTGTTTCTCAAATAGACGGCGGCTTCTGGTTGCCTGGCAGCAGCCTGAAGAACTCTGATCAAGGGAACACAACGCCTGATGTTGACGCACGCACCCTGCCTACGTTCAGGAGTCGAGCAAGGCGTTGATCTATCTCCGCCTGTGAAGACCATACCAAACTTCTTGTATCACAGTTGATTTTGCTTAGTTTTGTTTTTGTTTTTAGTTGTTGTAAGGATTTGAGGAAGATGGATCTTTGGTCGCGATTTTGTTTTAGGAGTAGTGCCAAGGATTTTAGGTTTTGTTATAAAACGATGGGTTAAAGGATTAACAAGGAAAGGAATAGGAAACCTGTACCTTTTATATTTGCGCGAAAAAACAAATTTCAAAATAATATATTTAATCTATTAGTGATATGCAATTAACTTTTTAAAAAATCAGCTACTTAGTCAATGGTGCTTCTAGACAATGGTAGATGAGATTGTTGGTCAAGAAAAATGACTGCAGTTGTCAGTAGTTTACTTAGAAATTATTTCGAGACTTAATTACTTTGAAACATAACTTTGTGATTGATGATAAATGTAAATGTCAGTAAATGATTGATTATAATATAAAATACTCATAAAAACTATAAAGTGATGGCCGAGAAATTACTTTTTAGAATATTTAAAATCTTTGTTTTTTTATTTTCAATACTGTCTAAAATATGTCCTTTTATTTGCTCGATATCTATCGGTTGAATGTAAGGAAATGATTTAGCGTACTGTGGAAATGTAATTTGAGAATTTTTATTATTATCATAATTCCAACGTTCATTAAATGCTTCTGATAAATTGCTCTTTATTGCATTATTTTCTCGTCTAATTTTCTCATGGTTATACTCATGATTAGATTTGTTTTCATTCGGTAGTTTTGATTTATATGTGAACAAATTTTTATTGTTAGACGCTTTATTTCTCTCATGTGAGTTATATTTAATTTTATCGAGAACTTCTATATTATTTATGTTTGGTATTCGAGTAATTTTTGTATGATTTCTTAGCAGCAGTTGTACTATATTAGACTGCCGAGGATAGCTAAGATTTATGTAATTTTGTACTAGATGATTACTATTTTGAAGCAATGATCTTTTAGCAAATGATTTTGCATTCTCCAATTCGCCGCTTTGTAGAACTGTTTTTAATGAGAATTTAATTAGGCCATTGTTCCGTTTTGCATTACCTGTGTGCACCGACACCTCTCCCGGAAACACAACAGGTTTGTACGGCTTTTTGGTAGTTTGATATGCTCTTAACATAGGCGCTCTCTCGTCTACATTTCCAGTTTCGGCGCAATCCTGACAAGCGTCTTCCCCAGGAGGTACAGTAGGAAAAGAAGAAGCGGTTAGAGTAGGTGGAGATGGCTGAGGTTCTGGTGAAGGTACAGGAGGTGGAGCTTCGGTTTCGGGAGCAACAGTTGTATCACAATCCGGACAACTGTCAGTACCAGGAGGCACTGTTGGAAACGGCGAGGGACTTATTACGGGGGGTTCCATGGAATCCGGCGAAGTCGCAGGAACGGGTTCGGTAGATGGCGAACAGTCTGGACAAGCGTCAGGACCTGGTGGTACAGTAGGAAAAGCAGACGGGCTTATAACTGGGGGCTGTGTAGGGGAAGGCGGTTCTGTTGGTAAATCGGTTACTTCTGTTGGCATAGGTTCTGTCGAGGGACTACAATCTGGGCAAGCATCTGTGCCAGGAGGTACCGTTGGAAACGATGAAGCATCTATAACGGGAGGGTCGGTTGGTGCAGGAGCTTCTGTAGGAGGTTCGGTGGGAAGTTCAGTAGGAGGTTCAGTGGGAGGTTCAGTGGCAGGTTCAGTTGGAGGTTCAGTTGGTGGTTCAGTAGGAACAGGTTCGGTAGAAGGGGTGCAATCTGGGCATGCATCTGTTCCTGGAGGAACAGTGGGAAATGATGATGCGTCTATAACTGGTGGTGTTGCGGGATCTGTTGGAGGTTCCGTAGGAGGTTCAGTAACAGGAGGTACCGTAGTTTCTGTGGCGCAATCCACACAGGAATCTGTTCCAGGAGGTACTGTTGGGAATGTGGATGCATCTATGATGCCAATGGTAGTGGTTTCCGGAGCAACGGTTGGTTCTGGAGGAGGCACAGTTGGCATGATTATGGTTGGAGCGGGAACAACTACAATTTGTTGAGGACGACATAGTCCTTTCATTTGTGCTATTTGCAACATTGCTGGCCATAGCATCAGTTTCATACAAATATCATATGCCCAAAACATGGTAAGGGTGAGTGTGAACAAACACTTGAAATTTAATAATTCTTTATAAGTAACTTTATTTAAATATTTGTATAAATTTTCAAGTATTTAAATGTGAAATTTAATTAGCATATTTTTGGCCACTAATTAACTACAAGGGTCTGTAAAAAAGTTTATTTAATGGTTTTCACTAAACATTATTACATTTATAATCAGGCTTATATAAAGCACAGAGTAGAATAAATATTAACACTTATTGACGTTTATCTTTAATTCACTTTTATAATTTAAATTAATATACACATTTCAATAATTTAATTAAATTATTATTATAGTTTTGTTTAAAAATATAATATTTAATTGATAAATTTCGTAATTTAAATGAGGTTCATAAACAATTAATGTTCAATTTAGAAAAATTCCTAATTCATAATAGTGTATCACTATTCACTTTGCACAGAAATATAGAAAACTGATCATTTTAGACTAAATGCACTGATATTTATAATAATTTTTGCTCTGCAAATAATACTTTATATGTATATTAGATCTGGACCACAGATATAGTGGCCGTTGACTGATTACAGTACATTAAGAGCATCCATAGGTAAACTATGACAATAAAAGCGTTACAATTATTGTCATTTGCAATTGTTGTCGCCTGGACAATAGTTCATATAATTTTTTTTTTGTTGTGGCGGTCATTGCACAAAAAATTAATTTGTATCAAATATAACTATTCACCAGGGTCGAATTAAACAAAGAAATGGATTCCGTTCGGTGAATCAAGCAAAGCAAGGCTGCGAAAGGTTACAATTATTATATATTTAAATGATAATTTCAAACTAACTGATTTTGGTTAATAATCCAATATATTTTTTTAAACATTCAAAACTTTTTTTTATTAATTAGTTTGCCATTGAAAAGTATTTGGTTAACAGTAATCACAGAAAATTGATCATAACTGAAAATAAAATCCGTATTCTAATTAGAAATTGCGTTCGTATCACATTTTATCAACTTTATGTAATATGTACCTAAACAAAATATGTTTAATTATACTTATAAAGCGCGATGAGTACATCTTTCAAAAAAATATTTCAGAACACACACACATATATATATATATATATATATATATATAAATATATTCATGTTTTAACAGCAATCGAAACCTTACGTTCTATAAGCTTTTGGGCTGATATTTCTCCTTATGTCGTATTTTTAGATCACTCGGAGTTTAGTTAACCCAACGGTTGTTCAATCCATATTTGATTATTTTAATATCAGAATTTTTCTAATGAGTGGGCTATTTTTACTTGGGAACATATTTAATATTTATATTTCCAAGTGAAAATTGATATCGCTACTGCACAAAATTAGGGTTGTTCGCGACGGGGATTTATGGGTTAATGACCCGCCTTATTGTAAACCCCATCTTTATATAAGTACAGAAAGTTAGGAGAAAAAATAAAAACATCACTAATATGAATTTTAATCTGTAGAAGGAAAGATTGAAGTATTTAAAAAACATCCCTTACATTTGCCTATAATTTTCCACAATATGCTTTATTATTCTAACACAATTTATACGTGTAGTTCAAGATGTCCAGAATATTTTTGCGTAAACAATAATTTTATTCAAATAATTTTACATACGTATCTACTTAATGTGAATCATAACTGACGTCTCGAATAATAAATAAAAATAAAATTCTATTGAAGTAAATAATTAACACATGCCAAATAACCTTGATTTATGCAGTTGTTCGCAACTACTATATACAAAGTTGATAATTGCCTTTGAGCTGATGGTTTCTAACAAAAAGGTTTCCGTTTTTTATTATTTTTTAAAAATAGTTTAAGATTTAACCAGTTTATATTCGAATTTCGTACATTTTTTCCTCTTTTTTAAGCTTTTGTTTTATTGACTTTTAGGTTTTATTTTTAACTTTCTGAAGGAGAATGAGACCAAATTTAGGAAAAGTATGTGTGTGTGTGTATGTGAAGACATTTTTTGTCGTAAATCGACGTTTTCTCAAAAACGGCTGGACCGATTTCAAAAATGTAAAAGCCATTCGATGCACCTTGATGAGGATTAGCGTTTATCAGTTTTCCCAAGCCGTTTCTTTATAAATAGCAGAAAAGTGAAAAATTTTTCGTCCACTTATTAGCCCGTAATTCTGAAGACAATTTTTGTGATTTTTTTTTTGACGGTAGATCCCATAGTCTTATAGATGATACTGAAATATTATGGTCCTACGACAAGTTGTTTAATTTTAAAAATTCGTTAAAGTTTGCAAAAATTAGTATCGTTTTTTTAGCGTTTGTCAAAATTAGACTTTTCATCGACGTGGTCAAAAACCCCTAAACCGATTCCAGAAATTTAAAAGCCATTTGATATATGTCGATGAGGATTATCGTTTATCATTATCCATTTGTGTCGCCAAAAAAATGTGTATATTATTTTTAATAAAATGCTACTCTAGTATTTATATATCTTATTAGAGATTTGTTTTCCAAAAATGCAAACTACATATAATGATCAAACGTAATTTGGAAAGAAATTCTCATCAGATAAGTTTATCTAAACTCGATTTGGTCGAATTTATTTTGAAATTAAGTTGCGATAGCGTAAAGTGGGGTTTAAAGGTCTGTAGGTAAAAAGATCCACCACCTGTATCTCAGAATTTTTTTTAAATACAGATGTTCAAAATGTTAAAAATTTTAACTTAGAGGAAAAAAGTTGTATTCAGCGACCTTGATTCTGACCATCGTGGTCAATGGCAATGTTTGAAAATCCATCATAAAGGTGTTTTCTTTTGTTGTAACTTTTTTTGGTTGTGAGCACTGTTGTTTAGTTTACAAGATCTTCATATAATTTTCGTTATACGTTATTT